GGCTAAGATGCAGTCCAAGTTGTGAGGAGTCACATGTTGTGCAGAAACCTCTTCACTGGAACACAGAACGATCAGAACCTACATTGATACGCAGTAACTATAATACTCTAATTAGAACGTACGCCAATTTAACATATGATTTTTGCTTATTTACATGTTACCACCTTTGCTAGGACCGTGCAAGTCACTTCGTCAGCAAAATGCACAAAACTGAAATCAGGGTAAGAACAATGTTTATTTGTACCCCCGAGGTACTCCCTGAAAATTGGGGTGGGGGTGTGCGGCCCACTTCCCAAAACCGTTACCGCATTTAAGACCAAAATCTGCGATTTTCCCTACCTTATTTTTAATATAACCTGATCAAAAATTCGATATCCTATTTAAGACCTAACCCTTAAACCCATACCCTGTTTCAAACCTGCCTTAAAATTAGCTCTTCAGTTCAGATGTTAAAGGCATTGTGATGCGTTTGTGTTGATGGTCTTAGCATCCGCTAAAAAACATACCTAATTCAAGTCTAGAGTTCAAGACCATACACTATTGGAAACTAAAATGGTTAATATCGATACCCTTTTTCTTACCAAAATGGCTAAAATACCGTACTCTCTGGAGCCGCACAAACCTATTTAGCCCAAATAGGGGAGTATGCAGTCAACACTGTGTTTGATTTATGCTTGAGCATAAATCCGCCTGTAAAATTCATGCNTCGCCTGTAAAATTCATGCCGCCGAGAAGTTACAAAGGCGCCAAATAGTGACTGGTTTTGGATTTGCTGCAATCTATAAAGCAATTTCCAATTGAGTGTCGTAAAACCAAAACCAACCAAAAGAGCGTTTTCACATGACGTCATGGCAGCCATATTGGTGTTCTACAACAATGAAACGGCGGCCATGTTGGTGTACTAAACCAATCTTGTGGGAGTTCAACTCTTTTCTTATGTGAACACTTTCTTTTGTTCCAATAAATTTGCATGGCTGCTGGTTACGTGAGTGAAAACGCTCTATTGCTAATCAAAACCTAAACATATATATTGCTTTTAAAGAAAGAAGATTTTAAAAACTTCTTTCGATCATCAGAGGCCCTTATTGTACAGCCCGTGTTATTTTGTCTTGTTGGATATGCTCGATCACTTTTCTTGTTCATTTCTGACATCGACTGTTAAACTTGTTTTGTTTTTCACATCCGTATATTTAGAGCTGAACTATTACTTGTATTATTCTTGTAAGCTCGTAGCATTATTGAAGCACAAAATTT